TTTTTACCAAATCACCGAATAGAATAACTGAGGGAACTCCTTAAAGCTAAAAAGAGGTAATTTTAGGACAAATTTAAAGAAGTACAGACAGTCCCTGATTTAGAAAAGGATTGTGTTCCAAAATTCCGTAATATAAAGGGAGATTGTTGGAACTCTAGATATATTTTCCCATAGAAATAAAGCTAACCATGGACATTTGGTTTCCAGGCTAGCCCTTAAATGTCCCTTTAACTCAATTTAAACCTAAAGGGTTATATTGTACTAATAGTATTATAGAGACATTATTAAGTGCAAAAATATTTCTATGGGGGAGGGGAGCCTTTGCAGTTCTGACTTAGGAAAACTTCTCAGCTAACAAAAGGAATGAGGTCTCTTCCCCTCTTTCTTTTTTGTTATGCAGTGGGTGGGTGACTCAGCTACATGTTATTGGGTTTTGTCTCTGTGGCCTGAGATAGGGTCTTCTTTAGGGCTGGGTCAGGAAAGTGTCAAGGTGGAGAGACTGGTGTGAAGCATGGAAAGAGAGCTATGAAGATAAGGGGGAGAAAGAGGACAGTGAGGGTGAGAGAGGAAATACATGAGGCTCATAATGTGAAAAAATGCTTTGTAAAACTTAAACATAAACTTTATAGTAAACATAAACATGAGGATGGATATGACAAGGGAAAAAGGAAGATGTATAGGTCACAGGATCAGAATATTTGAGAGTTGGAAGGGACCTTAGTTTTTGTTTAGCCCCAAAATAATCCTTTCTCCACAGATCTAACAAGTGCTCACCCCTAGCTTTTGCTGAAGACCTCTAGTGAAGGCAAATCTGAGGCAGCCCATTTCCCTTTCTGATAGGCCTTTTAAGAAGTATTAGCAGCTAAATGGTATAGTGGATAGAGTGCCATGTCTGGAGTCAGGAATTCAAATCTAACCTCAGACACTTTAGTTGCTGTATAACCTTGGTTTGCCTCAGTTTTGTCATCTGTAAAATGGGGATAATAATAGCACCTACCTCCCAGAATTGTTGTGGGAGTTAAATGAGATAATATTTGTAAACTATTAGCATAGCACCTGACACACAGCATATGCTGTATAAATGTTAGCTATTGTTATTGTCTCTCTGTAACTTATATACATTGCTCTAGCTTTTCACTCTGGGACCAGCAGGTCTAATTCCCCTTCCCTGAGACAACTTTTCCAGTGTTTGATGACAGCTATCTTGATCCTCCCTGAGACTCTTTAAACATTCCCAGTTCCTTGACCTTCCTCACTTGAGGCAGTTCCCTATTCTGAATGCCCTCTTCTGGGTGCTAGACTGTTAATCAATGTCCTCCCTAACAGGCAGTGCTCAGAACTGAAGGTGGTCTGATTCAGGCAAAGTGCAGTGACATCACTAGCTAGTCCTGGACACTGTGGTCTCCTAGACCATCTCAAGATCAAATAAGCTTTTTTCCCCCTTCTCTTTGATGTCATATAATACTATTGATGCAGACTGAGCTCAGCTTGAACACCATGCAAGGGAGACTGGTGTAGTAAATAGAAATACTAGATTTGGAATCAGAAAGACTTGGCTTCAGATTGTGCCTTTATCACCTACTAGCCCTGTAACCAGTGGGCAAGTCATTTGACCTCTGTGACTCAAATTTCTTCATCTGCAAAACAGGGCTAATGATACCTGTAGTTCCTACCTCATGGGATTATAATGGATCTCAAATATGATAATGTATGTAAAGTAATTGGCAAACTTTAAAATTCTATATGATATCGGTTCCTTTTCAGACAAATGTCAATTTGTTTATACCTTTCCCATCTTAGAGTGTCAAATTGATTCTTTGAATTCCAATGTAAGATTTGAAGTATAATAGGAATAAAAGTAATCTTAAATTCAACAGTCCATTGTTCTAACTCATCAAGATAGTTGTGTTTGTGTGTGTGTGTGTGTGTGTGTATCTGATTCACTATCTTCTGTATTGGGTTAACCCTCCCTTCCACCTCCTCTGCGAATTTGACCAGCATTCCATTGATGCCTTCTTTCATCCACGTCACTGATGAAAATGTTCATGAAGGGGGTGTAGGGAGTCGCTGAAGCAGTATTTGAACCTAGGAATTCTGAATCCAAATCCAATTCTCTTTTCACTATATCAAGGTTGTCTACAGATGCTAATTGTGGTCTTAGGCCCTTAATTCCTCACACTGGAGGTGAGAAATTATTATAATGGGAGTGGTGGATGGCTCTGAAAGCAAAAGCCTAAACTCTCAGAGAAAGATAGATTTAGTGCTTGGCATTCTGCTGGAGGAAAAGAGAAAGAGGTCTGGGAGACATAGTCAATGGGGTTTGGTCTTTTATTTTTCCCTGTTGTAGTGTGTTCTGCTACTCCAAATCTTAGGTTAACTAGCCCTAGATTGAGGTTAAAACTGGGGAGAGAGGCCATTTAAGCAGGGGGAATAGAGGAGGGGAGTTCCTGTGACCTCTAAGGTGACTGGCCATTTCTATATGTAAGGTACATATGTAAATCAGGGATTCATTAGATGGTGATGCCTTTAGCTATTTTATAGGCTGATAGGATAATTAGGGTACTCTTTAACCCTCAGAGAGAACAGATTGAACATAGGATTAGAGTGGGTTAGACAAATTTATGGGCAGTAAATCCTTAGAGAATTATTCATGGAAGCTATGGGTAGATTTTCAGAGGGTAATTCTGCAGAGGGTAAATATTCTTCCTCATACAACATCCTTTGTGGCTCTAAGACAGATAGTACATTATAGTAGATGAGCCATTGCTTCAATATCAGCGTATCATTACGGTGAAGAGTCTGAAAACCCAAATGACAATCTTGGACCTTTTACTTTATCACCATGGTAGAGTGGAATGGAAGTGGCATCTGGAGTTAAAAACTTTGGTTTGAATCTCAACTTGGCTGCTTACTCCTGTGGCCTGGACTTGGGAAGATCACAGAACATTTTTTTTTTAAAGTAAGGCAATTGGGGTTAAGTGTCTTGCCCAGAGTCACACAGCTAGGAAGTACTATGTGTCTGAGGCTGGATTTGAACTCAGGTCCTCCTGACTTCAGGGCCAGTGCTCTATCCACTGCGCCACCTAGCTGCCCCCACAGAACATCTTTAGGCCTCAATTTTGTCATCCATAAAATGAGGGGTGGTGGTGGAGTAGATTCCCTCAAAAATCTCTCTAAGTTCTACAACTATGAACCTATGAATTCTGATCTAGGAACTGCCACTTAATAATTGTGTGATCTCAGGCAAGTTACTTAAGTTATATTTGTACCATAAGATTTTCCTTTGGAAAGGTCTTCAAGAAAAGGCTGGATACATTATACACCTATCAGGTAATGTTATAGAGAAAATTCTTCTGCAGCTACACACTGGACTAAATGATGTCTGAGATGCCTCCTAATTCTAAGATTCAGAAAATGAGGACAATGATCTCTTTCTAACAAGTATTTTTTGAGGAGCAAATGTACTACTCAAGAATCAACAAACATTTACTAAGTAACTATTATGTGTCAGGTACTGTGTTATGAACTCAGATACAAAAATATAAATTAAACAGTCCCTGCCCTCAAAAAACTTACATTCTATGTGGATAGACAGAAAGTATATGAAAGTACTTCATTAACTCAAAAGTACTTCATTAACTCAAAAGCACTAAATGGATGAAAAATCTACATCTTATAAGTGAGAGACCATTAAGTGAATTGATTGAATTGAGTTCATTCAAAATATTCAAAACAGTTGTGCTTTATATAGATCACCTTACAAAACACCATGGGTTTTATCTTAATATTCCTAGTGGAACTTGTAAAATACAATTAGAAGTTCAGGTGGAATAAGTGGGAATTAACAAAATCATTGAGTGTTATTGTATCGCTGAAATGGGAATTGAATGTAGTGTGAGACCCATTTCCAACCACCACAACCCCCCCCTCTTTTTTTTTTTTGCCTGGAAAATGAAGCTTCCCACCCCCCTCTTTTTTAAAGGCTTCTATGCCCATAAAGAAGATGTAAGCTGCCACTTTGAGATGATTGAGTTGTTTGATACTTTCATGCACCAGTGCCAAGTTTATTGTCTGCATGTTACTTTATAGTTGGCTGGCAAAACTGCCCCCTTTTTTTGCACGTCATAAAAGTACACATTATTTTTAGGTGATATAATAGGTTGGATAAATAGGAAGGCCCTGGTTGGGGGAAAAAAAAGTCTATGAATTTGGTAATAATATCATTCAGATTAAATCTTTTCATTGGTTTTCTTTTTATTCTTTTAAATAAACATTTTAATATGATTATCGTTATCAATGATAATCATAAGATTCCACCTCACTTCCCTGAGGGCTGCAATGCTAACCCTTACCCCCCTTCCCCATCCTCCCATTTACATGTGGCTTTCCCCTATTAGAAGGTAAGCTGCCGGAGGGTAGGGGCTGTCTTACTTTTTTGCATTTGAATCCCCAGACCCTGAGCCAGCTAGGTGGTGAATTGGAAAAGTAAGGGGCTGGAATCAGGAAAACCTGAGTTCAGATCTTACCTCAGATACTAGCTGTGTGACCCTGGCAAGTCATTTAACCCTATTTGCCTCAATTTCCTCCTCTGTAAAATGAGCTGGAGAAGGAAATGGCAAACCACTCCAGTATCTTTGCCAAGAAAACCCCAAATGGGGTCACCAAGGGTTTGGACACAACTGAGCAAATCCCCAGAGTTTAGCACAGTGTCTGCCATACTAAATCCTTAACAAATGTTTTGTCTATCTGCCTGGCTGTATTTTGCTTTTCTCTGCCTATTTATCTAATTCACATGGGTATAAAGGAAGGAGAGACAGCCTTGGAATCAAGATGACCAGGATTCAAGTCCTTCCTATGTTACCGTATTCCATCACATAATTGTCACAGATTTTGTCTTTTTTTTTTTTTTGCAAAAAAGTGGGGTGTGACCATTATGTGAAGCTTATCCAGTCTTATTTGTCTTTTAGTTTCCACCAGTGTCACACCAACTTTTCACTCACTGAAAACTGTCATTCTGCAGCTCTGTCTCCATGCTGTTCAGCAAACACAATCACTTTCAGCTTGGAGCCCACGGAATTATATTTACCTGTAATCAGAAAGAAATGCTTTGGACGTTAAGATTCTTTAAGAAGGGGCAGCTAGGTGGCACAGTGGACAGAGCACCGGCCCTGAAGTGAGGAGGACCTGAGTCGAAATCTGGCCTCAGACCAAACACTTGATACTTACTAGCTGTGTGACCCTGGGAAAGTCACTCAACCCCAGTTGCCAAAAAAAAAAAGAATTAAAGTTTATTTAAAGATTCTAACTTGCTTATTTAGGACAATTGAAGCTGCATCAGAGATATCCCATGATTTGATCATGTGTACTTATATGTATGTGCTCAATGTTTGGCACATTTTTGAGTGAGAGGCCACTGATCCTTCCCCTTACTATGAGGTGTTTGAAGTTTTCCTAGGTGTCTCAGCCTGGCTTGAAGTAGTTGCCATTTCACTAGATCAATGAATCATAGTTTTAGAGGGGATCTTGCATGACTGTACCATCAGTTTAACAGATGAGAAAACTGAGTCCTAAAGACACTCAGTTGACTTGCCTAAGGTCCTACAGGTGGTTAGTGGCAGAGCTGGAATTTAAATGTGTAGAGTGGTTTTTCCACTGCTCCCTGCTGATCACCCTTAGCAACAGCCTTCATTTGGGAATATGGAGGTGATTTTTGCCCTGGTGCTTTTCCTGAATTAGGTATTCATGCTTGTGATAACGAATGCATATTCTGTCCCTCTAGTTCAAAGGTGTTCTCCATGTGGGTGACTGTGGGTATGTGATATGTGGTTGTTTCCATGAGGTTTACGGATGAAGGCTGATGTGCAATTTGTGACTCTAAACCAAGATGAGTCGTTCCTGAACCATTGAACATGAATAAATTCAGATTAGCTTATGGAAAAGCTCTATGGTACACAGGGATAAGTGTTTAGAACTATTAAGAAGACAAATAAATATATCCCAAGAACTAATATGATTATTGGCATCGGGCAGGTTTAAGGCTGACAACATTTTTTTACAACTTATGATGCAAATTCCTACCTTTTACAGAGGTTTTCCTAGTCTGTAATATCTCCTGGGAAAAAGGATCATTTTTTAAAAAGTCTCATTTTGGAGATATCTCAGTGACTGTGCCAGCTTCTTAACATTTCTTTTGGTACTTCTAAGTTCTGCGTTGGCTTTATCTGATCACACAACTCCTTTAAATGGCAGAGCTTATATAATTCATACATCACAAGTGACAGTTCCATGGTCAACATATCATGCCAATCTGTCTACTTAGAAGTACCATTATATATGAACCTTCTGATAAGTGAAGAGGAGTGCTTCCATGCAGAGCTTCATCACAGGCATAATATACCTGGTAACATCATAAGGCAGTAATTAGAGGACAGTCTTCCTAGGAGTGGGTGCCAGTTTAGAAAGACAGAAAACCTGTTGGAACTAGAAAGCAGGTCAATATCTTCCAATTTTTTTCCAGAAGCATTTTTCTTCTATTTCTAACTCTATGCCTTCCTCCATGACATCCTTTTATGACTGGTAAAACTGTTCTCTGTATCTACTTGTTCTCATTCATCCAAGTCTGGCTCCTTCAAGAAACTTTGGAAACTAATGCATAGAATTATACCATGGCCTAGAATTTCTGTGATAGCCCAAGGGTAAGCTCACCAGCTTCATGCTTTAACTGACTTCCTTCCCTCCACCTGGATCAAACAGCTCCCTCCAAACAGAACCTGAGACCTGGGTCTCCACCCTGGGCTTTCCAGAATCCTGATCCCTGGCTCTGAGGAAGTTAATTCATTTATCTTTGGAGTTACTGCTATAGGGCCCCATCAAGTTGACTATTGAGTTAGTATATACCAACTATCCAATTTAACTAACTACATCTACTGGTCAGCCCTCAGTACTAGACCACTTGATCTTCACATCCCATCTAGCTATCCACCCAGCCCGTCTTACCATCTGCCTGCCAAGTGGTAAGGTGGTTCCTTTCAATCTCCCCAGAACAAAACATCCTCCTACTGGTGTTGTTTTTTTCCCCTATTAGAATGTAAGGTTCTTGGGGGGCAATAACTGTTTCGTTTAAATATATCTGTATCTCTAGCACTTAACACAATTGGTATTGCCTAAATGCTTAATAACTGTTTTTCATAAATTCATTCATACCACATATTATCCACAAGGCTTTAGTACTTTGTTGTATCTGTGATTTTGTGGATGTGAGTGAAGGTGAAGATTGGAACCCATTTGTATCTGCCCATCCTATGCCTTTGTACCCCTGTAAATCAACCATAGATGTCCTGCCATGCTGACTGCCTTCCTCTAGTTTTCTTGATGTTGTGTGGATACCAGCAGAACAGGTGGGCCATCCACCAGTTATTCCCCACTCCCACCACTTGTCCAACCTCCTTTTATTTATTGCAGTCAGATATTTCCCTGATGACATCCTTTACATGAATTCTCCTGCACACTTTCTTGTCAAGTTATGTGAAGCAGCCGTCTAATTCTCAATGCATACTTCTCCATTGCCCTTTGGGTGATCCTTCAGTTTAATAGTTTGGGGACTGTGACTCATGATTGTCGGACATCACAGAAGAATATCGTTGTTTAAAAAAAAAGATAGGTCTTTGTTTCATTTTCCGGCAAGACGTTAAAATACTCAGATTAACAGAAGAAAAAATAATGGTTTCAGTTGGTTTGCCATAATTCAAAATCCCTACATTTTCTGTATTCAGAGAAACATTAAAGACTGTGTCTTCCACCTAAGCATGGTCAATGAATGCCACTGACAGTGACAGTCAAGTTTCCAATACAGTCCAGACTCCAGTCTGAAAAGTTGGTTATATTCAAATACATCCTGCTTATTTCCATGTCTCCATTAGGAAGATCATAGATAGTCCATTAATGAGCCCTTTGCCTCCTTATTGATTTGACCAGCCATAAAGGGTCAGATTTCATCGTTCTGATGAAATGCCTCAGCAACATCCTGATCTTAAAGAAACAACGAGGTGAAAACTATTCAGTGAGGCCATTTAGTTTCACGCTCTCCATGTTGAGACTCCTCTTCTGGAACTGGTCTGATTGGCTCAAATCCAGCTGATTTCATCCACAAATTAAGCTGACAATTCCTCACAGCAGTAAACTGTTGTGGAGCCAAGGCAGCATTGATTAATCAGACTCAAAACAGTTCCAATGGCCTGAATTTAACAGATGCTAAGGGAGGACTTGTCCCCTGCAGGTGGTGTTGCACCCCTCTCCCCTCCTTCTTCTACCTCTATCCTCCATGAAGCTATGGACCAAAGGACAAGATACAAGACAGTCAAGTAGGAAATAGTGGAGAATGGGGGGAAATGGGATGTAGAATTACAAGATGTTAGGGGATGAGGGACGACAACCACAACCCTTGAAAAAGAACAATGAAGGAGATAAAGTTTATAAACAGGAACATAATGAGAATTGGGGAGATGGAAGGAAACAACAAAAACAGTCAAGTATTGACCTATGCGTTGGGAATGCTTTTGACTTCTCCTGAGGTTTGTATTTTGTCCTGATATCTGAAGGCTATAGGCAGCTTAGGCATACAAGGAGGAACTCCAAGAGTGTGGGGAGTGGGGCAGGGAGTGGTTATGATATTCTTTCCAACTTAGTCATTCATCTTGGAACTTGGAGTCAGTTGGAATCTGAGCCAAGCCAATAGCTAAATGAGAGGAGAAGATTTGGGCCAGTTTTCCTGAAACTGGACAACAGATGATGACAACAAATAGCAACAACTACTGTCCTGATCTCTTTTTAGATACTCTGATTATTTTCAAAGAAAAAACCCACACAAGGGTGTGCTAGTAAATGTTTAACAGCCAACTTTCTGGGGAAAAAAAAAGTATGTGCAACACACTTTTAAGTTCTATCTGCATTATTAACATTTAATATTTCCCTTTCTTAAGTCTAGACAATCAAAAAACCAATAAACTATTGTCTGTCATTTGATGATTTCTAAGGTATAAATGCTCATGCTGGAATATTAATAGTCAGCTCTCATGAGCTGGTTATGAGCTGGCTCCTGCACACCACTGGGTCTGTGTCTTTTAAATATTTTATCCTTACCCCCATGATGGTTAATTTTAGCTAGAAAGTGATCTCATGGCTTAATAACCAGTTAAAAAGGAGATGGAGTCTATATTCAAGTAGCAAGGATTAGCACACTGGTTTACTTGCCTGAGCAGCATGAGCTAGTTGTTAAGGGGTCAAGAAATAAGTGGTAAAGTTAGGGACCTTAATGTCCAGGACAAAGAGTTTGAACTGCATATGATAATTTGGAAATTGACACCAAAATCACAAGTCTAGATGACTCTAGGAAAATGGTACTGCTGATAGTGTGATAGGAAAGTTGAGGGGAGAGAATTATTTTTAGCATAATAAGTTCCTAGGTCAAAGAAGAACCACCTCATTGGAAATTAGAACATACAGGACTTTGTGTATATATGTATATGTATATGTATATGTATATGTATATGTATATGTATATGTATATGTATATGTATATGTATATGTATATGTATATGTATATGTATATGTATATGTATATGTATATAACTTACATTACAGGAAAATAATGATCAAGATTGCAAAACATTCTTCCTGAAGTGCTAAAAGAATATTGGGAACAGAGCTAATATTTACTAGAGGGAAGATTTGAAGGGAGGATCAGATAGGGTCTTATTTCAGACAGGCATACACTTGAAGACTGTTAGCATCTTGTCATAGTGATTGAATGTTGAACCAGAAGGATAGAATATTAAACCCAGAAGAAGCTGGGTTCAAATACTTCCCCAGATATTTGTTAGTTGTGTGAACCTGGGCAGATCACCTAGTCCCACTTAGTTTCAGTTTTTTCACATGTAAAATAAAATTTTCACATGTAAAATACTTGCACTTACCTAATAAGGTTCAGTTAAGAGAATGGATCAAATCTTTTAGAAAAAAGGTCTTAAAATGCTATAGAAATGTAAGGCAGTAAGGGAACTTTCTCTGG